AAAAAAAGTATACAATTAAGCATATTTGTTTGGAAAAATGCGTACAGGCGAATCATATAACAACAGAAAGACAACTTACGAGTACCCCGAGCAAGCTCACCATAATTATATGCTACTATTTGTTCTTTAAAAAATACGATATCTTTTACACTTAATATTTAGCTTGGTTACGTTCCATTCATAGCTGTTCCCTTGAGACCAATTTTTTGCAACCATTTTCGTCGGTCACAGACTAGTGACCGTAGTGTAAACTTCTCAGGATCGCTTACACAGCCTGCCCTCACTCAATGTGAATACCGCGAGGAACGCATATAGTAGCTGAATAAGGGTACCAGACGGGACATATATGTATGTGTGTACGTCGGTGACGTTATATCGTGCAGCCTTATTCGAGCCCAAGCTACAAAGTTGATCCGGCTTTCCGCGTCGTCGTGCTAGTGAGATAACAATGATGAGCTGACAGAGGAAGGTGGGTTAGAACGGGGGTTTGGGTGCCGGCCACAGCGTCCAGAAACGGCGAATGGTCGTGGCTCCAGTTGTGCCGCTTACTCGTGATTCCAATGCCAATAGATTTATGTCGATGTCGACGTCGACGGCGATATGACTTTGTCTGTCCTGAATATATGGGGGAGGACAGCAAAATACGGCCGGTACCTGTGAACACGTTGTAGCTTCCGCAGCAACGGCGCACAGCCAGACGAGCTAGCAGAAGCAGCATACCCGGCCCAAAGCACGAACTGATGCCATCAACATAACTGCTTACAGAAGAAAGCATGCCGAAAAATGGACGAGCAACAGCACCTGTTCCACTAGTCGCATTGGCAGAAAATAAACAAGATGGAAGAAAAAGACTCCGAATCAACCTGCTTGCGCAAACGGGAGATTCTGAGATACCGTCATTTTGGAGCGGTAGGGAACAACAGTCTGGGTCGGGCCAGACCCAAGAAGTGCCTTGTCCTGACAACAGCGAGTTGCGATTACAGCGCTAACCCTAAGGCTGGGGATCATATGGACAGTTTTTCTTATATGACAACAGCTGTGGCGGCGAACCCGGCGGCTCATGGGCGTCCAGAGCTCAGTTTGTTCTGACTGTCCGCTTGTTGTTGTCATCGCTAGTTGCATTCGTTGGCCCGCACGATGTCTTTTATTCGTAACTATCTCTGTCGTCGTCGTAATCAAGTAACGGTGATAGTGCGGTTTAAACGGCAAAAACAGCAGCAGCAGCAGCAGCAGCAGCAGCAGCAGTAGCCACAGCATAATGCAACACGCGTCTGGCGATGCAGGGGCACGCAAACACAGATCGACAGACAAACGGATAGGCAGACAGATAATTAAACATCACCCGATGATGATGATGATCTAGTCAAGTAGAGAGCTGCCATTTGTGGGGTGAGTGACTGAAACGGTTTAGAAATATGGGGTATCAACTCTTCTCTGTGTCTATTTACACAGGTTTGACCCTTCGTGTCTCCGTGGCCGTGTGTGTGTTTGTGTGTGACCGGTGATTGTTTTCGCGCCGCTCGTATGAACACTACGGTTAGCATTAGACGAACAAGCTGAGATGGCCCCAATAGTTAGTGAAGTGATACGTTACGAAAAATGCTTTTTTCCGTGTAGTTGATTATTTTATGCTATTATTATGGTTTTTGCATCTCGCTTTTTACGGTTTGCCGATATATACCTGACGAGATACGTTGGAGATCTATTAGAAATGTCTAGTAACATGTAGAGATGTATGTAAACAAATCTGATAAGATATATACGCAAACATGATACTTCATGTTTTAACGCGAAAGCAAGTACCAAATTGGTGCGACGCCGTCCTACTGAAAATCAAACATTCGATTAATGCATTTTCCATTGTCTGAAAAGCATCACGCCCTTAAAAAGGACACCTTCGTTTTAAACAACGTATACGCATAAATTGCATTCGAAAAGTCTTATTTGCTGCTAAAATGTGAAAGAAAGACCCTTAGCCATGAGCGCTGCTTGTAGGGTATACATAGGCCCGAAGATTCAACAAAAGTGAAGGCTAAAGAAGAAAAGCTCAAGCGTACCTTAACGATATCATCGCTTATGACACAGAAGAGAATCAATCTATAATTTGTAGCCGTCATTCAGCTGTAGCCTGAAGCATAACCTGTAGGTTATGTAGTAAAGTCGACGGCCCACCTCTCGTAATGCATACACACACGTAGTTTTCTATGCAAAACGTAGCATTTTGAATAACAGTGTTATTACAGATTGTAATGATCTTTTTTTTTAGAAAAACTCCAGGACAACATGGAAGCTGTCATCGTTGAGAAAAGAAACCGTTTGGAAACCTCACCGTACAGCAATAGTCGTTGATAGCTTCAGCGATGAGGCCAAAGTTGGAAGATCGAAAAATAAAACTCTACCCGAAATGTTGTTATCTCTAACAATAGCGAAAATTTTATGCCAACAAAAGTATCACGCATCATCAGATTGTGAAATCAATGAGGCTCATGGTTGTGAGGTGGAAAGCTTGCTTTTTAATCAAATTCTTAGACTTTGCGTGACTATAGTATATCGGCACTAGTTACAAACAATGATATGACGTTATTAATCTTAAAAAAGCGACGACAACATGTGCAAACTGAATATATCTGTTTTCAGAAAATGCGTTACAAATCTTCTTACGACTGGCGATTTTTACGGTCCTTGTCTCTAGGCCTCGTCGGCCATCGACCAGCTAGAGGCATTCGACTCTGACCGACTCTGCGCTTGCGCTATAGGAATTCGTTTTCTACTAAAATCTTCCCCAAAAACATTTTGCTATCATGGAAAAATGAACGCTAGCGTCGTAGTCGTATATATTCAACTATTTCGGAGTTTAGCCTCCCAACTCGTTTTGAAGTTTACTGCCTTAGTCCCATAGAACTTGAGCAATATTTCCAAATAAAATATGCAAACATAACGTGCCGCAATCAACTGGTTTCCAGCAAATTTGCAGCTGGCTGTATCCTGACAAATATATCCCGCATAACTAAGAGGAAGTACCCACACATACACATATATACCGATTTTCTTCGCTGCTAATAAAATTCGGTGGATGATCAAAATGTTCGTTTTTATCATCCTAATATAAAAAGAAAACAAACAACAAATGTAAAGTTCCCATTGAGAAACTAAATGTTGGTACCTTTTAACCTACATATCACACTAAATTATTCATGATTCACTATAGCCAGTTGGACAGATAGCGCGCATCGTATATACTCGTATACATCGTACTATACAGTAGTAAGACGGGGATATATCTGTTGCAGACGATTCCGCCATTGTTAACATTTATTGTAGATGACAGCGTCGTCGTCCCCCCTACCGCTGCCATACTCATCATTAGCGTGTTTGGTTGTGATTGCCGTTACGATCGCCGCCCGTCAGACCTTTTAATGTGGGTCGCCCCAGCTGCTGCCAGTGCTAACTGACATATTAATTTGGTCTCCGCAGCCGCAGACTGCCGGAACCGAGCCGGTGTTGCCGTCGTCCGCTACTGCTGTGAAGTGAACCCGTTCCAGCCCTCCTGATCTGACGCGAACGCTGCTGCAACACCAGCTGCGGTAAACTCAGTTTATCACCGTTTGCAATTGCTTTTGCCTGCCACAACAGTGCCGACAGGGTAGATTACCGGACTTTCATTTATTTGCTGGCCGGCCCGACTCAGCACCCATAACAAACACCTGGTTTCTAACAATCGCGGGTCTCCACCGTAGAGCTATCCGTAGTAGACGATCTAAAATAGCCGCGGTTGCCGTTGACGAAACGCCGTCCGGACCGCCCGCCCACGACTCCTCGCCTCCATAGCAGGCCGGCAGGCAAGATCATCAGCGCCCGCTAGCGCAGAGCCTGTTTGAGCTCGCGCGTTCTGTTGGTCATCTGGGGGCATCTAGTATGTTGTTGTTGTTCAGGTCGGCGAATAACGCGAAGGAACGTCAAGAAAGCGGTAAGTGAAACGTAATTCTGTAATTTGTCCTTAATACGTTTGTCTCGCTCTTTACTAAAGGGATGTTGGCTATGCATATGAGCCTACCTACATGGGAAAAATCGGCAATGCCGGTTTGTGATATCAATTCGATGTACAGTCAATTACATCGATGACATTGTGTGGAACGGTATTTTAAAAAAGGGTTAACATAGAGATTCTTTGATTCTATCAGAATTCTAATATACCACCTTATGCTCTTTATGCTTTCAATTATTACTTTATGTAACGAGATATTTTGTCGTGTATGAAAATGGTGTTAGTGCTCGCTAATTGTGAACGAACAACTTGCTTGTTCGGTTCACGCTATTACGCTAGACCTAAATGAGCCTCCACGAAGTGATGACTAGATGTCGCTTAATAGTTGTCCGATTCAAGTGAAAGGGCCCTCGTCGTCGTTACCTCCTCTTATTTCGGCTTCCTTTCCCACACTCACCTCCTCAACGAAGGGGCGGAGCCTAGTTTGCTGCACACGATTTCCGCAATCAAGGTTATTTGCGTCCGTGCGTTCCTATGTATATATATATATATATATATATATAGATATATAGAGAGAGAATGAGAGAGAGATAAATGTAGCTGCGCAAGCTTGGACGCATATGTCTTGTGTGCTGGGTCCGTGCATATTTATGCCATATTTCTTGAGAGCGACTATGGCGACACGCCTTCGCGCAATAACTAATCTCGAAATCTTTGTACTGGAAAAAATACAGGTTAGTGTTCGCGATTTTTTATATTGATATCAAAAATAGCCTGTGAAGATATTTTTGCTTGATCGTCTTGGGATAAGTGTTTTTCTATGCTACCCCGAGCAATATGATATTTCATTCAAACTTAATCAATGTAGAAGTCGATTGTTATACTCTTCTTTAAAGAAAAATAAGGTAGTCTCCGGCATTTTGGTGCACGCCTCCGTGCCGTGCTTTACTATGACTTTCCACAAGTACAAAACAATATATATTCTTAGCTTAGGACAGAATAGTGCCAATTGAAGCATCATTATATTCCACTTAATTCAACGGCAGGTGTTGGCTGGCAGATAAATCTAAAGAGAGCGTTCTATCACCGAACGTCGCTTGTTCGTGGAGGCCACATACGAAACGCGCAAGCAGCTGTCGACGAGACTGGATGGGAATAAAAATCCATCACAGCTGCGGGAAGCAGCCCCATCGCTTCAATCGGGAGAACTGAAGTAGTGCCGTCAAGCATTACTTCAGGTGCCTGCACGAAGCGAAGTATGTCTGCGTCCGTTCGTCTCCCAAGCCAGACACGACCAGACGTAACACATCCCTGAGTTTGATAGACAACCATATCACCTCTGCCCTATTGCGAGGACCAGTGGAAAAGGCAGCCGTTGTCAACCAACAGCGTGGGGTAAACAAACAAAAACAGCCAAAGTCGACAACAATTACGACACCTCTGGTGGGCAGTGCAACACCACTAAATATTATATATATATATATATTTATCTGTATTACTTCTTTACTACTACAGTGATTAGAGCGGTGTGAATTACTACTGCTGTTGTCATCGCCGTTGGTGCTTGGCGCACGCCAGCCAGCTCTCTTTCCTAACGAGAGAGTTCGAGCAGAACTTCAATGGCCGGCTGGATTGAGAAGCAACCCGGATTTTCAGTTAAAAATATTCACAGCCGTGCTAATGCTTTATATATATACATTGGATATACGCATATGTGTCCGTAGGGTCTGCGTGTGGTGGTATTGGTAGCAGTAGTAGTACGGTATACAGCAGTACAAGCTGCTGTTTCTGCTGCTGCTGCTGTGGGTTCCATCGACCGCAGCGGTCTGCTGAAGGGTGCTGTTACCGCTGTCTATGCGCGTTCACCGCTTCTGCTGCTGGCGCTGGTAGCCTTAGCCGCGCTCAACGCTAGCTCCGCCCCGGCGCCATCTTAGTTCCAGATGTTTGGCTAGCGCCGCTCGTTTCAGCAGCAGCAGCAGCAGCAGCAGCAGCAGCAGTAGTCGTCGTCATCGTAGCCTCCAGTGGCTCCGCTGCTGTGGTTCTGTGCTTTGTGTCCGTATTTGCCTGGCCGCAGCGAACGTCCAACGAGTCAGCCGGCGTCGCTGTCGGTCTGTGGCCGCCTTCCTGCGTGCTTCGTAGCGGCGTGGCTGTGTGCGCGTGTATTGGCTAGCGAACAGCGCGGCTCAGCTCAGGTCTTGCCAGCGCCGCTGATGGTTGGAGACCCGCGATTCTGCTGTGCATGCCCGAGCAGCGATGCTCTGTGTGATCTGTGTATGTGCTGTTCCTGTTTGTGCCGTTGACGTGGTGCGGCGATAGCTAGAAACTGCTGCTGTTGGTTATTCGGTCTTTCGTATGCTCCCTAGCCGACGGCCACCATCGATTCGCAGAGCACCGCTTGCTGTTGGCTCTGACTGGTCTCAGTGGTGGTGTGTCGATGTCGACGAGGTCCCTCTCGGTCGCTGCTGCTGCTGCTGCTGCTACTGCTGCTGTGTCGATCGCTGGCTCGGCAGCGGGTCGGTCTAGCCAGTGCTGTTGCTGCGTCGTCAGTAGGGAATTGTCTGTTGTTTAGTGCTGAGCTGAGCCGAGCCGAGCCGAGACGAACGAGGCAAGCGCTGCTGCTCGTGCTGCTGCTGCTGCTGTTGCTGTTACTGCTGCTGCTGCTGCTACTGCTGCTGCTGCTGCTGCTGCTGGCGGTGGTGGTGGTGGTGGTGGTGGTTAGCTGGCTGACCCGCATCGCAATTACCGTTGCGTATACCACAGGACTTCGGTTATTCGCCGGCGAGTTGATACCAGTGGGTGAAAAAAGGCCGCTGAAAAAGTAACCCTTCCGAGGAGTTCATCACGGAATAGTGTTTGACTTCTAATCAGCCCACCGCTTCTACCTATATTTCTTCCACTCTACTGGACAATTGGCGCAGACCAACGGAAACGGCAAACAGGGAGTTCCGTTGAGTTGGCTCGGCAACAACAACAGTTCGGATCAGCAGTTTTGTCTACTGGTTTGCGTTCTAGTGGTAACAGTCGTTACGAGAACGCACAACGTAAATCTTGTGCTGAGTAGTTGTACGTTGTGTTTCGGTCGCGTAAAAAGTGCTACGATTTATTTTTCGCTTATGCTGTTTGTGTGCGACTTGGTCAGAGGTGGTTTTTCGACGAAACTAGCGCACAGCCTGCGGGAAGATCAAGCGGGTCGCAGTCGGCAACCGTGAAAGCCAAATAAACGTTACTTACAGCTGTTAGCTCACTTGGCCAACGTTCGTATCATCATAAGCGCATCATATCAAGGTTAGCCTTAGCACCGGGTCTGGGTACAAAGTACTGCGCTTGTTCGAATCAACACAGGCGCGATCCGAAACCTGCTGAAGAGATTTAGTGGATGACGACACCGAACGGACGGCCCCTCTTCGATAAAGTCTCCCAGCATCATCGACGGTGCCCCACAGCCTAAGGGTGAGCATCGGAGCAGCATCGAAAGAGAGGGGGGGGGGGAGCAGCAGCAGAAAGAGATTGCACTCAGGAATACGACTGCGATCGTTTCGAATAGCGAACCTACCTGTGCGAGAAGCACCACCCCATTCAACGGAAATCTCGCCGACTTGACCCCTCCCTCCAACGATACCCAACTCTCGGAAGTCACTTCGAAGTATAAAGAGCAAAATCCCTCTCGTACCCGTCTTAATGTCGCTATCATCATGACGAACACCTCATACTCTACGTATCGTAGTATATCCGTGTGTGACCGATTTTCGTTATGATCGAGTTCTAACATCAGCCAACAGGGCTCCAAGGATTACGTGTCTCATTAACTATATATACATAGCGGACTAGTGTGTGCGATCTTATTACGTTTGATAAATACCTACATCTATAAATAATACGTTCATATTTTTTAATTGTTGTGTGGGTCGTCGTTTATGCGTGTGGATTCTTCGTTGATTATTCATCACCGCCCCTAATAGCCGACATTCGACGGTAAACGACACGGCCAGCATTCTATCTACGAGAAATATATACATACATGTATGTATGTATGTATGTATGTATGTATGGTAATCATATAACATTGAATGATAATGCCATTGGATGTTCGAGATGGGACCAAATGATTGCTTCACTATAATGATAATGCTGTCAATGTTGCAGTCGTTGATGTGACTGGATAGACAAAACAAAACCCGTCTCACTGTATTTATGCTCTATGTGTTACGAGCAACGTACGTGCTGGTGTGACGACGATCGTGGCTTAGATGTGTATTGTGACGGCGCGTGTATCTTGGCCAAGCCATCGAGTATGTGGTTAGCCAGGCGATAGGAAAGAAATATCTCGCCTGATTCAATTGCTTCTTAGTGTGAACAGTTCAGCGGTTCAGCCCGTTTTGCCATCTTGCCTAAGCGTCATCATCGACATTTGTTATTTTATCGCTAGTATTCTGTTTCAATTCTACACTCTAATGCAAAAAGAGAACGTGGATTTCGCTGGGTATATATGTGTCGTGCGCCAGTAGCGTTCGTTGAGTGAATTACTGTCGCTGTTACGCACTTTGCAGCCTGAAGCCAGGCCGTAAGCTACCTGCGTAGAGATCAGGAACAACAACAACAACAACAGCAGCAGCAGCAGCAGCAGCGATCCCCCTAACGTGCTGCTGTTCGTGCGGGGCTTTGTCGGCGCGTTCGAGGTCCCTGCGATGGCCCCACTTGTGTGAGAGGCGTTCAGCAGTGCTATGTTGTAAGGCGTCCCATGTACGTCGCGCGTCTGTGTAGCATCCGTGTCCAAGTTAGTTAGCGCGTGTTCTAGGCTATGACAACGACCTATCAACGGACAACGAACTACAGACAAGTTACTAACTCTTTGGTAAAGTGTCGGCAGCTCACAGCGGTGGTCTTTCGGCCTAACACGGTTTCTGAAGGTCGGCCTTGAGGCGAAGGTTGCGCTCGCTGCTGTGGTTGTGCGTGTTCGGTAGTTACACGAACACGCGCTAACGGCGAGATTCGTTCCGTTCCTGCTGTTCGCTCGACCGATCATTGTGGCTGCCGCGCTACCTGGTGTCGGTTCTACTTTTATTGCTTTTGCCAGCCAACATCGACGACGCCCCTGGAGGGCCGAGAAAGTTAGAGCTGCAGGATCCGGCTGAAACCTCTTCTTCTTTTTCGCAGCGCAGTAGGGGCTGGCTATTTTTGTGCGTACCAATCGCCTCTGTACGCTGATTATCGACGGGGAACCGTAGGAAACAAAACGGAACCAGCTATCTCCCCTAAAATTATGACTACTACTACTACGACAATTGCTAGCATCTGCCTGCTTCGCTAATACATCACAACAATAAGTGAAAATAAATTAGTGCTGTTACTGACGGCAACGATAGAAACAGTGCAGCTTTTTCCAAAACCGAAAATCATTCAGCTAACCAACGAGACAGGACGCAAAAGTTTGTCGAAAATGGCGATGCGAAATCACGAAGCGAACGCGGTGTCAGCGGCCCGTTCAGGCGAGGTTCCCGAGAGCTCGTCGGGCACCCAGAACGGAAACAACCTCGCGATGGTTGCCGTGTCGGCCCCCGCCTCCGTCGAGGCCAATACGCCCGTCGCCGAGAGCTGGTGCTACACCCAGGTGAAAGTAATTAAATTCAGCTACATGTGGACCATCAACAATTTCAGCTTCTGCCGGGAGGAAATGGGCGAGGTGCTGAAGAGCTCGACGTTCAGCGCGGGAGCCAACGACAAGCTCAAGTGGTGCCTCCGGGTGAATCCAAAGGGTTTGGATGAGGAGAGCAAAGACTATCTCTCGCTATATCTCTTACTTGTGTCGTGTAATAAAAGTGAGGTACGAGCCAAATTTAAATTTTCGATCCTCAATGCAAAACGCGAGGAAACCAAAGCGATGGAAAGCCAGCGGGCATATCGCTTCGTGCAGGGTAAAGATTGGGGCTTCAAGAAGTTCATTCGGCGGGACTTTCTACTCGACGAAGCGAACGGCCTTTTACCGGACGACAAATTGACTCTGTACTGTGAAGTGTCGGTAGTTGCTGACAGCGTCAACATATCGGGCCAAAACTCTTCGATTCAGTTCAAGGTACCGGAATGCGCCCTTTCAGACAACCTTGGTGAACTATTTGAAAGTCAGAAGTTCTCCGACGTAATTTTAGCAGTGAACGGACGCGAATTCTTCGCACATACGGCGATTTTGGCCGCCCGATCACCAGTGTTCAGCGCGATGTTCGAGCACGACCTTGAAGAGAAAAAAACTTCGCGGGTGGAGATTGCCGATATGGATGAGGATACCTTGCGGGAAATGCTCCGATTTATCTACACAGGGAAATCGGCTGCGCTCGACAAAATGGCCGATGAGTTGCTTGCAGCTGCCGACAAGTACGCTCTCGAGCGGCTTAAAGTTATGTGTGAACAGGCGCTATGCGACAATCTCGCCGTAGATACAGCTGCCCAGTTATTAACATTAGCCGATATGCACTCGGCGGAACAATTGAAGGCACATGTGATCGACTTCATCAATATGCATGCCACCGATGTTGTCGAAACTGACGGCTGGAAACAGATGGTCCAACGGACGCCACATCTCGTCGCCGAAGCGTTCCGTGCTCTTGCTACTCAGCAGATACCGCCTATTGGACCAGCAAGGAAACGCCTCAAGCACTAACAACACCCGTCTATATATCTCACAGTATCAACAATATTCTTATTATTATTACCTTTACTAGTGCTAGAGTAATATGAAAATGTACATCTCGCCACCTGCCGTCGCTGTTGTCTACATCAGTAATCACCATATGACTTGCACTGCTCATAGAGTACTGCCCTCTGCTGCGAGGTTTTCGGTAGTCATCATCTTTTCGTATCCGATAAAAGTGTACATATATACCCAGATATATCGATATGTGTCGGTTAACAGCATTTACACACATATACATATAGATAAATACAGAAACATAAATACGGACGCTTTCCGTTAACGAGGCTGGAGCATACACACAGACACGTACACACAGACACACTTACACAGAAACACTTACACGCGCGCAAATACAGAGAGAACGAGGAGGACAAAGAGATATGGCGCCGATAATCCGTAAGAGAGTGATCATAAGAGCTAGTGGAAAATCAACAACTATCTCTTACAACTGCTGCAGCTAGAAGTGTGTCGTCTATGGGCCCAGCGCAGGCCAGAGGACGCAACGAGTCAAAAACAGGAAAAATTCACCGGTTTGTTTTGCCAACGTCGCAAGGGATCGATAAGAACGACCCGCGACAAAAACGGACGATGTACGTGCCAACGTCGCGCGGGAGGCGAGCAAGTGACTTCATGGCACGATGATGGTAGCCGATGCATCAGTTAGGTAGTCTCTTACTAGGGCAAAGGGAAATTAGATATTTCGTAGTGGATACGTGAAGGACGAATATTTACGGATAGTCAGAAAGAACAGCGTTTGATTCCGTATCGTTGTCTATAATCATCGTATTGGAATGGAGTATATTTACTTTTTATTTAATTTGTTCGTAGTCTATCTTTCATTTACTTCAATGGTAACTTTTAGAACAGATATATTTGGAACAGCATATGCTTCCTAAGGTATTCATTTGTTGATTCTATTGGCATTGAAACGTGAAATGATATCGCCCGCCGCTGGCATCGAAGAACGGTAGAAGCAGTCGCGATATTAAGTGTCCTATTAGTATTGCTAAACAATGACAGCGTTCGATTAAGCCATATGTAAGGTAGACAGGGTCCTCGGGTAGAGGCAAGCGAGCATTTTCGTTCTGGCCAATAAAATTGGCAATAGAATGAGAGAGACGTCATGGGACTATACCTAACTAGATGAAGTCTGGATGGTAACAAAAAAATTATTATTTATTGCACTTTCACTACACAAACGTCTAGGGAACCATCCGGGAGGGATTATAATGATGACGCTGAATTATTTAACATTGTCATTATAATTATAATTACTATTAAGTGTCGATAATAACCACGGTAGTAAGAGAAAGAAACGGGAATATTTATTTTGCGTTTACTTTATATTTATTTGTTGAAGGTGCAGAGCAATGGAGGCCTCACCTTTCTCCAATATATATATATATATATCACAATGTCATATTGTCGATAGTACTAAGTACTTTACATTGCTCTGCTTTGCCACTCATGATGTGTGTGAGTATCAATAATGATAGCTGATGCGAGAAGTGCTTAAACAAGGGTTAAAGGGTTCAAAAAAGAAAAATCTAGAGGGGCGGCGGCGGCGGCGGCGGCGGCAATGACGACGACGACGACGACGACGACGACGACGATGACGATGATGATGATGATGATGATGATGACAACGATGACGACGACAACAACAACAACACAACACAACACAACAACAACAACACAACAACAACAACAACAACAAGCGACAGCGTGATATGTTAGAAAGGGCGATGATTGCTTATGACGGACAGCAGAGATGAAGAATTTACGTAAAGATAAAAAAAAAATAGAGAGGAAAACTGAACAAGATGAATGTGAAATAGTAGGATAAATCATCATATGAATAAATAGTAATTTAACTGACAATGATGGCTACAAGCTGCGTATAGATGAGAGCTCGACGTAGGCGTCGTCCACTCTGTCGCAACATAGATATATGCTGCCAGTACGTGAGTGATTATAGGATGATGTCGAGGAAATGGCCATAATTAACCATTTTTCTGTGAAAATAATTAGGCAGAAACGTTATACTATTCGAACTTGTAAATTGTTGGATTTAAGATACGGTCGATTCTATCTAGCAGAAGTTTTTAAACGTTTTTACATTTTCGTTATTTGGCTTCCTCTTCATCCTGTAATCGAATGTACAGACGAGAGCGAAAAGAAGAATGAAATAGGCGATGAAAAGGCGAACGAGCTAGTATTACATCATTATGATGAATACAATCGCATCATCAGTCACTATTATTATAATTATTATTAGTACGGTGATTCACTCGAAATGGACTTATTCTAATTCTTGTCGAAATGTTGAAACAAAGGTTTTTAAATCTTCCGATAAGTTTGTGATCTCTGGCCAAGTGTGCCGTATGAGAGTATCTGTTTATCTAAACGTGTATAGGTGTCTGCGACAGCCCGTGTGCTTGACTATGCGTACGTATGTCTCTCTGAGAGAAACGTCTGTGTATATAATATAATAAAACATAATTAACAAAAACAAAATAGGCGGTCATACTACGATATAAATAGGAATGAAGTAAATGTTACGATGTTGTGAAAGCGAGAGAAAGAGTAATTGCAGAGCGCGACACGGGGCAAACAATAATTGAAAAAAGAAAAAACAATGAACGAACTGTAGAGGAAGCCCGTTCGCAATGCCTGACAAAGACGAGAAAGAAATACCGCAAAAGCCGTTTTTCCTTACCTTATTTCGCTAATAAAAAATAAAATCAGCAAAATCTAATAGTAGTAATATTAAGTGAAACCTAAAGTCATAAACATTTGGCCGAAACGAGTGGAAATTTCCATTGCAAACCAAACGACCCAAACACTTTTAACCAGCCATAAAGCCAGCGAGTAGCGGCGAACCGCGTAAAATGACGATAGGGGGCGATGGGGACATGTCAGTTGTCGAAACGAAGAAAATTAATCATGATTAGTACTCTGTTCATAGGTGCATGATGATGAATAAGAGAAAAACGGCGTGTGTATGTGTGTCTGAAGCACATGTGTCTGTATACATGTGCGTACGCTAGTAGTATTTAGTGATAAAAAAAAAAAAACAACTCATGACGCGAGAAGAGATCCGATGATTGTATGAATATAGATAAAAAAAAAAAAAAAAAGTTTTCAAACAATTAAAACTTTGTGTTGTTATTACGTTATGGGTAATACATGGGTAGTAACGACAAAACCGTAGTTTTGTCGCACTTACGATACGTTCACAACATTCCGTTCTATGGGATTTGATTTTTTTACAAAATTGTTCATTTTTGGGAGTCCCATTCTGGAAAAACAAAGCGTCATTTCATTCTCAGTACAGAATAGGACCAGACGCTTCTAAATGGCATTCGTTCTGAGCATGTAGGAGGCCACAAGAAGGCGAGAGAAACGTTTGAAAAAAGCCTGCCATTGGCCTAACAGTGGTCTTACTAACCCTTCCTATAGCTCAATTACAAACACAATCATAGAAAGAAGTTAACGGTGGAAATAGTATTACTTACCAACGCGTGCGTCTGAAGGATTAACGGCAGTACCGAAGTTGGAGCATTTATCAATGCAGGTGGATGCACATTGGCTTGGTTTCTGTGAAAATATGTAGGTTGACAGGGGCGGTTTTGATTTACGATGGGAAAAATCGAGACCAATAATAACTCGAGCAAATCGAATGGACTGTGGTAAAGCTAAATAGAAAAAGATATAGGAGCCGAATAGATGCTGTAAAAGTTAATGCAAACCTTTTGAAAAGGTGTCAGCTTGATGGTGACGGCAAAGGTAGTCATTGTACTGAATATTTGCTAATTATAATGTGTTTTTGTAGAAGGACAGACTTTCAAGAGAATATCACGAGTGATGTAAAAAAGAACAACTGAACAGGCAAGGGTAAATGATACCGTTTTTTTTTCTTTTGTCACCTACGGCCTTCTTTTAGGCTGAATAGTATAAAAGTAAATTGTGACTGTGATCAGGTTAGCATTAGATTGTCTGCTTTAAATAAAATTTAAATAACTTTTAAACCATATCAGGTAAAACGACGGCGTTCTGGTGTATGTTAAATGTAATTTTCCGCCTATTGTCTGCACGTTGAAGCCAACTCTCTAGGAGCTTTTCAGCAGTTGTACACTTAATCTCGTTATCGATGGCTTGTTTGAGGAAGTAAACCGGTTTCTGTCAAACACCACCTACCGCCCTCCTTATAGCAAGGAAATAATCGAAAATCATAGAAATTTTGATAAGGGGAAAGCATCGAGCGATCTAGGCCATGATTAAAGCGCGGCCATGAAACCATTGCGCATTGTCTATATCCAGCTCATTTGCGTGCCACAAGTATATGAGGCTTTACGAGTTATCTTTTAACATTTATCATTTCCTCTCCGATTAGTATTTTGCAGTAGCAAACTCCCCTGATATTCATAGCAAGTCTACGCCTACTCGATTCGACATTATTTATGAAATCACTCGGTCCTATTGGACGCTATTCTTTCACTTATTCCTGTTCAAGTGAGCGGCGCAGACGGGCTTCAGGCGTCATTTGTGCCGATCGTCTCTGTCCCCAAACACATGCTTCCAGAAGTCCTATATTAAGTCGACCGGGAACACCTTGTCCAGACTCTGTTTCGCTCAAAAGCTCCCGAAATACACAGCAGCTCAATTACATTTGAGGTCCTATGTGGTCTTCAGCCTCCTGATTTCTCGTCTTAAAATGATCACAGCAGTAATAGACTGTTTTTGCGCAGGAAGCCTTTCTGTCCAGCGTCTTTATCAATCTCCGATCGATACCACCAGTGCGTTCGTCGTCGAGAAACAAGCTTGTATACTGAGCGTTCATTTTCAATACTGTATAATACATCTGCTTTATCTAGTTGTAATTTTAATGTATATATTTACGAAATTTTGACTGCTAATCGCTAACTAGGATGTTCGATAGATCAAATAGCTTCAGACAAACGAGTTGACATGAAGGAAATTGAACCAAATGTTGTTAAACGCTCTTTATTCTATTTTTATATATATATATGAGTGCATGAAAAATATGGAAATCTCGAGTATAGCAGCCACTTGTGGATGTTACATTATTGTCACGCTTACTCAGAAAAAGCAAACTGCGGTCCTGAAAAGCCGCATGGCTATGTTAATCTGTATGTGTAATCAAATCTAAGGACGTGACCCCTCTGCATCACGACATCTGAAATATAGGCTTGTCAAAGCAAAAAAGAAAAGCTGGAGCGCCTCTGTGCCCTGATGATACCTATATATAGATGTTTCGAGTTTTAGCGGTATTATCGTTGGGTATAGTGACTAACCTGCAGCATAGGAAAAGGTATCTGTTTAGGATTCGAAGCCAAGATTCACAGATCCCCAAGTTCGGGACTCAATTATTGCAGTATATCAAAGGTATTACTTTATGACATCTATGAGAAAATAACCTATTAAGTTAGCAAATCACTAGTGTACGGTATATGCGAGCGTTGATAGCTAAGTTAAAGGTTACGGATCACTATTTGCACAGAACTGCTGTTGGAACTGCTCGTTCCTCCTGATATGAACATGAACTCATCGACCGCAAATAGCAAATGTAATGATAATACCTATAACATAAAAAAAAGAAGGTTGCGACTGAAGAAAAACAACACATGCACGTACACTCTTCACGTAATCACGTAGGACCGGGGTAAAAAGTAGCAACGTAATAATATCGATCATTGCCATCAGCTATTTGTATATACCAAACAGATATTATAAAATAGACCGCGTTATTGATTGTTCAGAGATGTACACGGATCGTAGATGATAAGTATTTCAAGTTGCACGGTTTTAGTTAAGCATTGCAGCCTGAAATTGGTGCCATTTTGAGCTTTCTTTTAGGCTACAGATGATAACTCAATGGAGGCTTTTAGATAGCTTATCAGATATGAACCGTCGTAGTCTACTTGCGCTTGATATGTTCTTTTTCCAACGACAATGTTTACTAACTATTGGCCAATTGGTAGATTTCGTCGACCAGTGTGATCTCAATGTGAGCTAGCGGATTTGCAAGAGCGATACAATGTACATAAATCACTAATTTTTTATACAAGCTAAATATCCCTTTTGACAAGATAGACATTTTTTCCGATAGTGTAGCAGTGGATAGTTGCAGGTGTCGTATATAATCAATGAAGAGAAAAGGGTGGGACTTATGTGTTGATGTGATCGTGTACACAGAAGCGAACACTCAGTTAAGTGGATCTGAAGAACATCAGAGCGATCTTGATTAATTGATGGCGTATTCCAGAGCAGCTGGACTGTATAAATTCTAGGTGAACGTCAATAGCTAACGATATGAAGTAGATGATCTCTAAGTGACCTTTGATGTAATTGCCCGTCCATTATATTTATATTGTAATCTCGTTTGTTATTTTTTTTATATAATGCTTCGCAGCGCTTCATCCCCGAGCAAGTCGGGGGCATGATACTTTAGAAAAGACATTTCTGTTTGCTGTTTTTTGAATGTATGCATTCATGTCAGCAAGCGTAAAGGCGCAATACCGTCATTGACCTCCATACCATTTAGGGAGCCTTTGTATTAAAGTGTTGTAAATTTGGCCTTGTG